ATGTAGTTTTACAAAATACTTACAATCATTATTCAATAGATATTTGTTGAGTGCTTACTGTTTTTCCATTATTACATTAGGAGCTAGTGACTGTGGACAGAGTATTTAGAAAATAACAAGGCAAGATTTCAGAAGTGCAGCTACATACAGCCCACTTCATGGTGTCCATCAGGACAGGACTATTATGCCGAGAACATGAGTCATGGTTTCTAAAAGTGAAATGCTTGAATGAGTGTTTCAAAAGAGGAAGTGAAGATGAACATATTTTCCAATGCCAAAGTTTTGAACAATCAACACATTCTATTAGGTTTGTGATTTTGTCTAGGATACATACCAAAGTGGGGTATACTAAGATGTATGCATAAGATACTTTTTAAAGTAACATTTGCTTCCCACGTAGCACTTCAGGGCTATGTTTATTAAACTTAAACTAATCCAGAAGTAATATTTTCAAGAATATAGATCAAGATTAGAAATAGCAGAATTACCTGGTAATTATGAGTCTGAATACATCAAGCAAATAAAATGATGACAAGCAGTTATTTAACTGCTCTTGTCACTACTAAGTCCCTACGCACTCCTGTTGTCTTTTCTGAGAATTGGAGACAATAATGGCTTTCTTAGCTGAGTTTCATTTCTGACCTGAATATTAAACGTCTTGACGTCATCAAAAGTCTGATTCCTTTACTTGTTGATATCATCACCTGCAAACAGTAGTATCCTCTTTCATTCTTTCAAGAAAGTTCAGAGGCTTTGAATCTTAAAAAGGTAAACAATTCCCACCACAAACAACAAAACACTATTGCATGTTCTTTCAGGTGCACACGTAACTGACCTTTAAAATGCTTTTGAGGTATGACCTTTTATTGCAGATAGGCCAAATATAACTTAGAATTCTTTTTCTTTTGAAATGAAATACTTAGAGCAAGCCAGCATTTCTGCATGTGAGTTTCACAAAACACTAATGTAGTAAGATGGAGCAAGCCCCTTCCCCTAAAAATGTGTGTGAGGTAATCCTGGGATCAAATAAATAAATTAGGGACATTCTGGTCTCCATTCACTAGTTGGGACATCAAAGCATACACTGGCATAAACAGCTATATATAGAAATATACTTCATATATTTAACTTCATTTAAGATTTAAAAAAACATTTTTCCTTAATAAATCACCTAACAACAATCCCTGAGACCAACAGTTTTGCCTTTATTCAGATTACTTTCTGCAATGGTCCAGCTATGGGTAGCTAACAGTATGGAGGCAGATCCAGCTAACATACCCTGGCAGTTAGAAGCTTATTCTATACGTGCTACTAGAAAAGCTTGTTTTGAGCCTTTTCTGGAATAGTCACATTGGTTAGAATAAACTATGAATTTTAGTTATTTAGCAGAACACAAGTTTATTACTTAAACAATCTGTACTTGTTCTATTGGACTCCTGGTGTGGCACTGTAAGATTAGCAAGGGACTGTGAGCCACAAGGTCAGCAGTTCAAACCCACCAGCTGCTCCACGGAAACCCTATGTAGGGTTGCTGTGAGTTAGAATTGACTCGATGGCACTTAACAACAGCAACAATACTCCTCGTCTACAAATACTTGTATTCCTCAGGTTAGAACTCAGAATGGTTGGCTGTTGTGGAATGAGTGGAAACAGCTGAGCTTTTCTCAGCTGCGCTGCAGTCTGGGTTGCGTTTCCTCAGAGTGTGGTGACCAGGGCAAGGAGAGGCACCTGGTGACGCACTGCTCCACGCTGCCCATGGCTTGTGCTTTCCTGTGGCAGAGCTTGTGAATGGCTTGTGCTTCCATTTCACTGTCAAGCACCGCATTATGCTGTTCTCCTTACAAGTTATGGATTTATTTGTCTTCTACAGTGATGGAGAGGGGAGAAAAAGGACCTCATCAACCTGCAGCAATGAGTCCCTAAGCATTGGAGGAACCCCTGTCACTCCTCGCCGAATCTCTTGGCGGCAGCGCATTTTCCTCAGGGTTGCTTCTCCCATGAACAAATCTCCCTCAGCAATGCAGCAGCAAGGTCTGTGTGGTGCACACTCAAGAATGTCTCTCTACAAGTATAAGTTAGGGAATGGACACAGAAACCTTCTATCGAAAAGAGTTTAAGGGATTGCAGTGGAGGTAACAGTTTTACTTTTTAAATCGGATATAAGTGGAGAACTTCACAGATATCATTCAAGCACAAGATATTCAGTAAATGTTTGTTGAACGAAAGAATGAGTAAGCCTGCTTTGGAACTAGTCTCTAGTGCTGAGGGAACTATAATAGGGGAGGGAAGAAGTCTGATAAGTTTTTCATCATTAGACCAGCATCTCAGTCTTTGACAAGAAGTCTCACATAAAACCAAGTGACATAAAGATGTTGAACAATAAAGAAATGAATAAGGGTATACCAGACAAATCTAAGCCAAAAAAGACCGAAGGCTCCTTTTGAATCGTAGCTCTACTAGACAGTAAAACAAAAACACCTAAAGAGGCAAAGTACATTTTACAGTAGACAAAATGATAAAACATTCATGAGATCACACATAATTTATACAACCTTGAGGGCTTGACAATAACACTCAGCAGATTTTGATGAAGATATAAAACAATAGCTGTAGTGGGAGATTTTAACCTCTTCCTTGTAGAAATCAAATATAATATTTGAATAAAGCAGTTATCAAGCTTGATCTTATAATGAATTATATAATACATTTCCTACAGTAGAAAATAGCCATTCATTTTTTAGGACAGGTGGAACATTTGCAAAAATCTATTATATTTGGCAACAAAGATTTTCAAATAAATTCTAGACATTCATGATCACTTACATCTTCTGACCACTGTGCTTAAAAAAAGAGAGAAAATAAGAAAGAAATTAAATAGAGGACAAATGAAAAAATCCATGTATTTGGAAACTAAACATTGTGCTCCTAGAGGTTGGTGGTGGTTATGTGCTGTGGAGTCAGTTCTGACTCATGGCGACCCTGTACAGGGTTTCTGAGGCTGTAAATCTTTACGGGAGCAGAAAACTTCATCTTTCTCGCGTTGAACAGCTGGTAGTTTCGAACTGCTGACCTTGCGGTTCGCAGCCCGATTCATAACCACTGCGCTACCCCAGCTCATTGCTCCTAGAGGGTAGAGGGAAGAAAATAACCAAATTGAGTTATATTTAGAGGGAAAGACATAGCCTGGAATGCATTAATCTGAAGGTAAGCCAACAAACCAATATCCAAGGTGTTCAATGTAAGAAGCTAGAAAAGGAGCCGTAAAGTAAAACTAAAGAAATTTAAGGAATTAAATAAGGATAAGGGGCAGGAGTCAGTTAATAAAAGAAAATTGTAGACAAAAATTGCCATTATTAAAGATAAAACTGTCTAGAATGGCCAGAGAAGATTTCACAGAAAAAAGTAGTTGCTTAGCCTCATTCTCAAGAAAGAGTGTTTTAGAGTAAGGGAATTCAAAGCTCCAAACTCAATCAGAGGCTGGTGTGGCACTGTAGATTAAGCACTGGATTGGAAGGTCATTTGAACCACAAGGTCGGCGGTTCAGACTCACCAGCCACTCCTCGTAAACCCTAGATGTTGTTATTGTTGTTAAGTGCTGTTGAGTCAATTCCAACCCATAGCGACCCTGTATATGGTATCCAAGGAGCAGCTGGTGAGCTTGAACCACCGACCTTGCAGTTCAAACAACTTTGCAGTCTGACGTGTTAGCCCACAGCGCCACAGGTTGCTATAAATTGATGAGTCGGAACCGACTTGATATTTAACAACAGCAGACTCATCAGAAAACCTTTGCAGGCTAGAGAATGATGATAAATCATGATCGAAACACAGACTAGAAAGTTGAGACATGAGGCTGGAAAGGTAAGTTGGGGCCAGACTATGAAGGGATTTTATTCTACTTTCAGTAGTTTGGACTTTGTTTTTTGGTGTCGCTGGCATGTTTTTAGAAGATATGGTCGGCAGTAGTATAGATGATGGCCCGGAATGGGGACGCCAGTGAGGTCCAGGAGATCAGTTACAAGAGGAGAGAACCGAGGGGATGAGATCCTAAAGCTAGACATGCCTTTCCTTGCTCAGCTTCTGGTTCTTTAATGGATAATGATGATAAGTTTAGATCATAGGTGATAACTAATACCTACTCATGTAATCTTTTTGCTTTGTCCAGTCATAGACTATATATATAGAAAAATATAGAAGTGTAGCTTTGGGGGAAGGCCAGATGATTTCAAATCACATTGCTTATAGGTCTTTTTGCCCTAAAAGAAGAAGTGGTGAAATTACCTAAGCTTTCATTTCACTGTGAGAGGGAAATCTGGAAGGGGAATTCATTTTCGTGAGTTTGCTTTAGTCCTTGGTTCTACAAACCACTAGCTACAGGGACCGCAGCTTTGTTAAAACCTTTAAAAGTGGATGACCGGGTGAGAGAGTATCAATTCTAGAGAAAATGTGGGTAGTCTTGGTTACAGACTAAAGAATGCCTCTCATTGTTTTCTTCTCTGCAGATGGACTGGATAGGAACGAGCTTCTGCCACTCTCCCCTCTTGCTCCAACCATGGAAGAGGAACCACATGTTATATTCTTGTCTGGAGATGATGACCCAGAAAAAGTCGAAGAAAGAAAAAGATCAGAAGAACTAAGGAGTTTGTGGAGAAAAGCTATACACCAGCAAATTTTGTTGCTTCGAATGGAAAAAGAAAACCAGAAACTTGAAGGTTAGCTGCTTTAACAGGGTTAAATGGTACAAGACGATATTTAAGGGTCTAACTAAAACTTAATCCCACCTTACCCCCCACGTATAGACCTATACTCACTTTCGGATGTATGCACAGTTGGATTAGAATATCCACAGATTACAAGGGTCTGTTTCCATTTTGTGAAGTAGTTTAGATATTGGAAAGATCAACTTGTAGTAGTTACAGTTTTGTTCTATAGATGTAAAAGGATTAGAAACTGTTAGACTTTTTTTGGGTAATATAGAAAGTAGACAGTCTGGAATCAATGTTGTTGATATGACAAGGATGCTTAATGTGATACTTAATATATTTAATATCATGGTGTCTTTTTTTCAAACCCTAAAATATGAAAAGGAAAATTATCTTTTTTAAAAGATAACTCTCAATTTAAAATCTGGTTTTTAATTTTAGGCTATTTAAATTTACAATAGGTGAAATGTGCCTATTTCAAAAATATTCTCTGATAGATCCAATATAAATATTAAATTATCTATTATCAAAGCAGAGTTGCTATCTTTTTTGTTACTGCTTAAAAATTGTGTATTTCTAAAAATCCAATATATCCAAATCATTCATTTCATAATTAAATAATTTATAATAGCTATTGTTGTTGCTGAATGCCTTCCAGTCAGTTTCAACCATAGTGACCCTGTATGGGGTTTCCAAGGAGCGACTGGTCAGCTTGAACCTCCGACCTTGAGGTTGAAACCAATTTTGAAGTCCAGTGCATTAACCCACAGCATCACACCAGGACTCCATCATAGCTATTTGTTGTTATTGTTGTTAAGTGCTGTCGACTCAGTTCCAACCCATAGCGACCCTGCATAGGGTTTCCAAGGAATGGCTGGTGAGCTTGAATGTCTGACCTTACGGTTCAAATGACATTGGAGTCCAGTGCATTAACCCACAGTGCCACACCAGGACTCCATAGTAGCTCTTAGTGATGTGCTATTGCTAAGTTTGTAAATTCTATATGCTTTAGAATGTATGTTTCAGACTTTGAAAGGATAGATGTAGCTACTCCAGTCCTGATAGAAACAACACACAGTACCCAGTCTTCAAAAAAATGCATAAATAACTTGGACATGTCATTTAACCTTAAATGACCTTATTTTCTTTACATCCTTAAAATGAAAGATTTAACTCAAGTGAGCCCTTTATCTTTAAGATTATTGACAAACACATAATGTATGTTTTCGTTTCACTTGCTTTTTTTGCATTGCCTTCAAAATAGCTTTGTTATTACTTGTATTCACGTTTCTGGTGTTTATCTCTCTTAAGATAACTATTACTACATCCATTATTGTTGTTGTTATGTGCCGTGGAGTTTGTTCCGACTCATAGCGACGCTGAACAGGGTTTCCGAGGCTGTAAATCTTTATGGGAGCAGAAAGCCTCATCTTTCTCCTGCAGAACAGCTGGTAGTTTTGAACTGCTGACCTTGCGGTTCGCAGCCCGATTCGTAACCACTACGCTACCAGAGCTCCTTAGATCCATTATAGTCAACTCAATTTTTATTTTTACCAATATGTATTTCTAATATATTAATTTGTAAGAGCACAATTTATTTCTTGGCAGAGTGAGAGTACATAAGATTTTCAATACTCTTAGTCTTTATAATTATGCCAAATGCGATTAGTGCCTGTTAATAAAGATTTTTAAAGTTGTATGTGATGTATAAGAAACCCTGCGAGCATAGTTGATTATGAGTTGGGTTGCTAACCTCAAGTCAGTATTTCAAATCTACCAGTCATTCCCAGGGAGAAAGATGAGGCCTTTTGCTACTGTAAAGATTTACAGCCTCAGAAATCCTGTACAAGGACGTTATGAGTTAGCACTGACTTGGTGGCACAGAACCACCACCACCATGTGATTGATGTATGGCAGTCTAGTGTTCATAGATTTTGAAAAGAATGGAATTTATAATCTTAAGCAATCGATTACAGCTTGAAGTAATTCAGAAACAGAGGAAAGCATTAAAAAAAGGTGATCATTATTTCTTTAAAAAAATGTAAAGCATGAACATTTATTTCATTAACAGTTGAGGGTATGTACAACTAGAATCTTACATATAATATCAAAATGAAATTTCAGAAACATAGACTGTTTGAGCTAGAAATAACTTAGCTAGAGTTAATGTAGTCTAATCCTTTATTCTATTGTTGAGTTAGCAACTGGTTTGAGGAAGTTAAAGAATTACCTAAGATCCAGCAGTGATGTATTGGCAGAACAAGAAGTAAACCTCAGGTTTATTCATCATGGTTCTTGGGGCTTTTCCCAATTTGCCACAGAACTTCCCAACAATGAATATAAAGACGTAGAATGTTTTGATACAAATGTTGACCTGTGTATTCTGTGGACATTTATGTGTACTGTGAAATTTAGTTGGATAATAAAGGAAATGACGTTCAGAATACATTCTCAGAAACTTTTATCAGCTCTTCATTTATTACTGTATTTTTGTAACCCAACCCAAACCCGCAGCTGTCTAGTCAGTTCCAATTCATAATGACTATATGGAGCACCACACTTATTCAACCTGTATCCTGAGCAAATCATCCGAGAAGCTGGGTTATATGAAGAAAAACGTGGCATCAGGATTGGAGGAAGACTCATTAACAACCTGCGATATGCAGATGATACAACCTTGCTTGCTGAAAGGGAAGAGGACTTAAAACATTTACTGACGAAGATCAAAGACCACAGCCTTCAGCATGGATTGCATCTCAATGTAAAGAAAACAAAAATCCTCACCACTGGACCAATAAACAACATTCTTATCAGCGGAAAAAAGATTGAAGTTGTCAAGGACTTCATTCTTCTTGGATCAAGTATCAACACTTATGGAAGCAGCAGTCAAGAAATCAAATGATGGTATTGCATTAGGCAAATCTGCTGCACAAGACATTTTTAAAGTATCGAAGAGCAAAAATGTCAGCTTGAGGACTAAGGTGCGCCTTACCCAAGCCATGATATTTTCAATAACCTAATATGCATGCAAAAGCTGGACAGTGAATAAAGAAGACCATAGAAGAATTGATGCTTCTGAATTATGGTGTTGGAGAATATTGAAAGTGCCATGGGCTGCCAAAAGAACAAAGAGATCTGTGTTGGAAGAAGTGCAGCCAGAGTGCTCCTTGGAAGCCAGGATGGCCAAACTTTGTCTCTCATACTTTGGACATATTTTCAGGAGGGACCAGTTGTTGGATAAGGGTATCATGTTTAGTAAGGTGGAAGGTTCAGAGTAAAAGAGGAAGACCCCCAGCAAGATGGATTGGCCATGTGGCAGCATCAATGGGCTCAAGCGTGGCAACAATAGTGAGGTTGGACCAGGATTGGACAGTGTTTCGTACTGTTGTGCATAAGGTCGCTATGAGTCAGCACCGACTCAATGGTACCTAACAACAACACACGGAACAGCATGAAACTACCCTGTAGGGTTTCAAATGCCGTATAGACGGACACATCTTTCTCTTGCAGAACAGCTGATGGATTTAACCACTGTGCTACAACAGCTCCTTGAACTAAGTAAAAATGACACAAATAATTCAACCCTTTAAGATTCTAGCCAATGAAGAAATCATTTCCTGATGGCACTTTATTCATCTAACTAACCCCAACCCACTGTCATAAAATATTATTGTTGTTGTTAAGTGCCATCAAGTTGTTTCCGACTCATAGCGACCCTGTAAAGTGTTCCGACCTTGGCGTTCAAACCGACCAGTACTTTTCCTATAGCGCCACATTAACTCACCATTATATTTTCAGGATCTGTAGCTGGCACTTACTAATTTGTTTTTTTTTAATGAATAATTATTTGAATAAGTTGGAGGGAGAGAGGAAAAAACAACAACATCTGAAGTAATATGCTGTGTGGTCCTGGTGTGGCACCGTAGATCAGCACTGGACTGCTAGCCACAAGTTTAGTGGTTCAAATCTACCAGCTGCTCCTTGGAAACTCTATTCAGGGTCACTGTGAGTCAGAACCAACTTGATATCACATAACAACAACAACAACAATAATGGAGAGAATAATTAGTAAAGCTAGAATAGGTCAGTGTTTATTAGCTTTATTAGACTTGTTCTTTTCCTAAAATTACTTATTAAAGAGAAATGCAAAGCTAGTCCTGAGAAGCAAGGCTAAACTGTGTTAGACAGCCATCTAGTGGTGTCCAGGAGGAATATTTTTGTTGAGCAATTTTTATGTCTGATTTTTCAAGTAGGAATTTCTTCTATTAGTTAAATTTTCATTATTTTGAAATGGCTTCAAGCACACTGAATAAAGAGTAGTAACATTTGTTCTGTCATTATTTTTATGCTGCCGAGGACTTTGGAACGTATGACAAAGATTTGTTTTGCAGAAGGTAAGGTGTTCGAGCAGCAAGAGTTTACATAATTCAAGTAATTCTGAAAGACTCCATATTTCCAATGGGATCCTAATGAAACAGAAAAAGCATTTTCACATGTGTATTATTTCTTCTCCCTTTTTGGAATTAGTTATTCAAAATATGAAACCTGACTCATGGTGACTCAGTGGGTGTCCGAGTAGAACTGTGCTTCCTAAGGTTTCCAGTGGGTGATTTGGGGGAAGATCACCAGGCCTTTCTTCTGAGGTACTTTTGGATGAACTCCAACTTTCAGTTTAATTCTTCAGTTAGCATCCCAGCGTGTTAATGGTTTACACTCCCCAAAAACATTAAAAGAAATGTTTAAATAAAATTTAGTCCTATATTTTAAGTCCATCATGTTAAAGAATTCTATATTATTTTAAAAAGTGGTAATTCTGTTAACTTAAATGAAATACATTTTTCTCTTTAAGATTATTAATAAGGATCACAGGAACACTCACCTAGTATTGGTGTTGGTAACTCCAGAAATAGTTACAGTAAAGTATCAGGTTGTTTGTTGATAAGTGTTGTCAAGTCAGTTCTGACTCAGAGTGACCCTACCCTGTATAGGGTTTCTGAGGAGCAGCTGGTGGGTTTGAACTGCCATCCTTGTGGTTTGCAGTCCAGTGCTGATCCTACAGTAACACACTATTAGTCTAGGGTTTGATATTTTTCAAATTAAAGTTTACATGAATCACTCTTTTCTCAGATAGTCAAATGGGGAAGACTTCAGAACGTTTGTGGAAAAATTCTATTATCTTTTGATTCCATTTTCTCACAAACTTTTAAAAAGTCCCCATGTATATCTTAATACTTTGTGGTGGTTAAGGTTTTTCTGAGTATAACTTCTGAGGCTCGATATAACATTTGTTAAAAATTTGGAATTCATAGCATAGCAAAACCATGTGTGTGTGTGTGTGTGTGTGTGTGTGTGTGTATTTTAAAGATTAGAGTTTCATCTGTGAGAGCAGAGTTCTGTCTGTAGGATGCCGAGGAAAACCATCGCAGGAAGTTCTGATACTTTTCTTTATAAGAGAGTTCAATGTTTGAAACCCTCTACATATCTTCTCTTTCTCTTTTTTTTAAAAAATAAGCATTTTCCCATATAAACTATCACCGAATTCACAATAAAACATTTTTAAAAAAGCATTTTTAAAAAAGCATTTTTATGGAGTAAATGTTAGTGGTTGATTCCTATAAGTTACTTGGTGTCATTTTATAAATGCATAAAATGTTTAAAATACAGTTTAAAAAGTACTGTGGTCTTATATAAATTCTCTTTTTTTTTTTTTTTTTTTTTTTTTTTTTTTTTTAGCGAGCAGAGATGAACTCCAGTCCAGAAAAGTTAAATTAGACTATGAAGAAGTTGGTGTATGTCAGAAGGAGGTCTTCATAACCTGGGATAAGAAGTTGATAAACTATCGTGCTAAAATTAAATGTGATATAGAAGATATTCATGCTTCTCTTAAAGAAGGTATTCTGGATTGACTAAATGGTCTTTTAAAAAAAATTTTTTTTTTTTTTTTGAGAAAAGCCTCGGGTTTTTTATTTGTGCATCTCAGATGTAATTTTGTCTTTGTGCTTTATCTGTGTAACTTGCTTCTGACTGATGGTAGCAGTTGGTTGATTGGTAAGAAGTGGTGTTTGTAGAGATACCACCCTGAGAAAGGAGCTGACATCTTTTCTGCAGTCTCCTTCCTGCTCCAAGTAGCTGCTTTCAGCTGAGCCGTTGTTTACCAAGTAAGGAGTGATGGTTAGTAGGAATGCTTGGTATGGAGGCTAAACAAAAGAAATTGCTTTAATTTAACCATTAGATTGCTTTTGTTGTTTCATTGCTGTTATGCCATGTAATATTCCTCATTCTTAAACATTTTAAATGTAGAATTTAAAATAATATATGAATTTTTAGAGGCAGTTTCTGTGACTCCTGTGAAATATGTTAACATGAGGATCTGTACGGCCTTCATAAACTTGGGAATTAAATAAAAAAATCCTAAAGTTGAATGAAGAGTTTTTTTAAAAAAATAAATAAAAATTTGAAACTATCCAAGGAAATTCAACAATGTATCTTGTTTTCAGAGTCTATGAAAATGTGTAGACTCGATGGCAGTGGATTTGGTACCTTCATTGGAGCCCTGGTGGCATGACAGTTATGCATATCATGTTATGGCTGCTAACCAAAGGGTTGACAGTTTGAACTTACTTGGTGGTTTCATGGAGAACAGACCTGGCAATCTGCTTCCATAAAGATGACAGGGATAGAAAGTCCTATGGGACAGTTTTACTCCGTCATGTGGGTCTGTAAGAGAATCAGCTGAGCAATACCTAACAACAGTAGGCTTTTGTTCCAGAGAAACTGCACTTTTTGGGGTGCTAGAATGTTCCAGGGTCCAGCCTTCTTGCACTCTTTCCTTCTACCTGTCTCTCTTCTCCCCTTTCTCTCCCTTCTCTCTTCGTCTGACTTCTCTTTTCTCCCTGCTTTCCTCCGTCCCTCTCAGGGCCTTCACTTACTCCTCTTCCTGAATCAATCGCTGTCCACACTCCTAACCTGAATTATCCTGTTATCCCTCAGGTCTCAGCTCAAATATCAGTTACTCCGAGTCTCCCTATCTGATTTTCAGGGCTGCCATGATAAGGTACTTCAAATGAGGTGGCTTTATAGAACAGACACTTATTTTTCTCACAGTTTAGAAGCCAGAAGTCTGAATTCAGGGGATGGCTCTAGGGGGAAGCTGCATTTTGTCTCTTACAGCTTCTGGTTACTTCTAGTAACTGCCAGCCATGGGCTTTTGTACATCTGCCACCATCTTCCCCCACATGCATGTCTCTTTGTCTGTTCTCCCCTTCATGATACCTGTCTAGTATGACCCCCTTTACAACAAAAGAAAAACCGTATTTCCAAACAGGGTCACATTCAGAGGTACAGGGGTCAACATATATTTTGGATGAATGCAGTTCAATCCACAACAGCTCCCCAACAAATGAACTTAATTTTGCTTTATTATTCTTTTGCATGATTCTTTCCTTTTAATAATACTTCTCATAATTTGTGGAGACTATGGTGGCACAGTGGTTAAGTGCTTGGCTGCTAACCTAAAGGTCTGAGCTTTGAACTCTTCAGCTGATCCGCAGGAGAAACACGTGGCAATCTACTTCCATAAAGATTTACAGCCTTGGAAACCCTATAGGGCAGTTCTCTTCTGTCCTCTAGGGTCAACTGTGAATCAGAGTTCGGCTCTATGGCATTGGGTTTTGGGATATCATAATGTGTAATTTTATATTTACTTCATGTGTATGTTCATTTAATGTTGTTCTCGGCACTCCACTGCACACCTGTCACCTAAGACAGTGTGTTGCACACATTCCTTATTGAATGAATGAATGAGCGTATAGATGAGACTAGTTTTCCTGATACTGGGGACTGCAGTACGCGTCTTTCTCTGAAAGGCATCCTGAGAGCCATGCTCTGTGCTCCAGTATATGCTGAATACTCAGTAAATGCTTAACTGAAGTGGATTAGCTTTTCATAAAACTGTTATTGCATGGATAATAAACAGACCTTCCTTGTTATCTGTGAACCTCTTAATGGGGTAATGAAAGGGACCCACTAAGTACTTATTTTATTATGCTGTTATTCATTGTTTCCACAAATGTTTAAGTATCAAGGTCTGTCCTTGGATTTCATCATGCAGAAATGAAAACGCATGTTTACTATTGTGAAGGGATGTGCCCCAGTGCTGCATGGTTGAACACTCATCTGTTCAGCCCATCAACTGCTCCATGGAAGAATTGAGTAGGTGGTTTGTTTCCATAAAGATTGCAGCCCAGAAAACGCTATTGCAGCTCTATTCAGTCACATGGTTTGCTATGAGTTGGAATCTCCTCAGTGACAGCTAACAGTTCATGGAGCTCAGCACTTGAGCCGAGTGAGAGACAGACACACAGGAGACAGCCAATAGTAATCCTCTGAATTAATGTTATAGTTGAGTCAGTCCTGATTCATAGCAACCCTACCTACGGTTTCCAAGGAGTGGCTGGTGAGTTTGAACCACTAACCTTGTGGTTAGCAGTTCAGTGCTTTTAGTATAGCGCCACACCAGGACAAGTTGCTTAAACTCTTTATGCCTCAGCATCACCATCTTTAAGTAGGGATAAGAGTAATTCCGTACTCATAGGGTTGTTGTGTGAGCACACACACAAAACTTAATCCCCCCTGTGCCCTCAGTAAATGCTGTGTTAAGTGCTTGTCTTACTTGTCTGGTGCTGACAACAAAAATGACCACACCAGTGCGTGGTTCACAGTTTGGAGGCTACACGTGCACCTCAGAGTGTCAGGCCCTTCCTTGTTGGTAGCCTGTGTGTTACTTGACATTCTCTGGCTTGTAAGGAGATCTTCAAATGGCATCTGTCTCTCATCTGTGCGTGCCTGCATCCATTTGGCTTTTTATAAGACACTATGCAGATGCGATTACGTTTAGAACCCACCCTGCTCCACATGACCTCATTTATAAATTCCTACTTATAAATGGGGTTACATAACTTTTGGGGTCACAACCCAATCTATAACAGTACTTAACTGTTAGCTGATGTTGTTAATAGTGTCAATATTATCACTGTTATTATTCTAGTTTTTTAGGAAGATGTTGGCAACTGTAGATTTAAACTTGTCACCATGTTCTTCTGTCAGTATACTATTGTACTGTGTGGTCTTAGGGTGGTGTATGGTATGGTGCAACTGCCTGATCAAGCATTACGTAATTCATATCTGTGGTTTAGAATTTTAATTTTGGAGTTCAAGACCCTGCTTATTTATCTCCTCCATTGCAGGAGTTCCCAAAAGCCGTCGAGGAGAAATTTGGCAGTTCCTAGCTTTACAGTATCGCCTGAGACACAGATTGCCTAGTAAACAACAGCCTCCTGACACATCGTATAAAGAGCTATTAAAGCAGCTAACTGCCCAGCAACACGCTATCCTTGTGGATTTAGGTACGTGCACTCTACCGATCGTCATTCACTAAAATAAACAGCAGGTCCCTGTGGCTCGGTTTTTTTTTTTTATGGTGATGTTACAGTAAGAGCTTCTGACCTTTTCTCTTCCCAAAAGCAAATTTGACATCTTTGATTGAAGATGCTATAAATGCCTTAAGTGTTAAATATTCCCCTTTGAAATTTTCTTTCTGGAAAAGGAGTTATTTTATCTTTGTATCATTATAAGGCCATAGTACGATGTAATCACAGTACCTGTATTTTTGACAACTCTCTGTGTGGGATCAACATTATCTAATATGTCAATCACCACTGGCTTTGTAAGCCTTCATTGGTGTCCTATCAAAGTAAGTTGCTGTGATACTGAGCAGATCTTAGAACAGCTTCCAGATTAAATGGACTAGGTAAGAAAGCCTGGCCATCTGCTATAGAGACGCGGCCAGTGAAGACCCTGTGGATAACAATGGTTCTGTATGCAACCAGTCATGGCGATGCTTCAAGACCAAGCAGCACTTCCTTCTGTTTTGCATGGAGTCACCAAGTCAGAAGTGACTTGATGACAGCTAACAACAGCAACAACAAAACGGGTTAAAGGGGGACCAAAAACTTGAATAAAGATGCGATAATTATTCCTGAACGTAAAGCTTCACAGTGGTAAATACTGAGAATTGCTAAAAATGTGTCTTTAAATATCATTTTAAATGCAATGTATATAGAATAAAAGGCAGTTATTCAAACAGAACAAAGAGACACTGAATGGCTTAAAATCATGAAAGATGTATGTCAGGGTCAAATCCTTGCACATTACTTATTCATTCTGTATGCTGAACAAATAATCTGAGAATCTGGATTATATGAAAACCAACACAGCATCAGCGTGGGAGGGATGATCCACCTTTCTTGCTGAAAGTTAAGAGGTTTGAAGTTTGAAATGTGCATATTTGACTCTACTTGTAGCCATCTGAGTTTCCTCGATGTGGTCTTCATATCATCTCCTTACTGCTCTACAGAATTCATCTTACCACTGTTTCAGGTTGGGCGAGTGAGTTGAGGATTTCTTTCGAGCCTATGTGGTAGAAAACATTTTAAAATCTGGCATTCTCACAAATTCCCATTCACTAGAGTTATGATTCCATTCCCGATCTCTGCACCAAAAAAATGCTAACATCCCCCTTCATTCTCTGGGCCCAGGGAAAATGATAGAATGATAGTCCGGTGACTTCCAGCTCTGATGATTACCAGCTTATAGGGATGCAGGACAGACTTTGCTAGCTCAGCTATTTCCATGGTGATTTTATACTCAAAGGTGAATTTTGAAGGAAGATTTATTTGAAGTAAACTTAACCCTTTACTTTCCTTAATCTTTTTGTTGGGAAAAGGAAAGGTGTCAACATGGCTCAGGGAGGTAGCTTAAGAAACAGAACAAAGGATCTTTGAAAAAGGACACCTAATCTTTTACTTAAGGAGCTGTGGTAGCATAGTGGTTACGAATTGGGCTGCGAACCACAAGGTCAGCAGTTTGAAACTACCAGCCACTCCGCAGGAGAAAGATGAGGCTTTCTGCTCCCGTAAAGATTGAAAGCCTTCGAAACCCTGTACAGGGTCTCTATGAGTCAGAACTGACTCCACAGCACATAACAACAACAAAACAAATCTTTTACTTAAAACAGTGACAAACAATCTGCCATCTTTTTTGTATATGAACGATGTAATCTGGCAATGATGAACGCCAAGGTGAGAGGTGAGGGTCGCATTGGCCTTGGTGGTTGAAGTTATGTGTCAGTTTGGCCAGGTCATGATTCTCTGTGGTTTGGCAGTTACGTAAGGATGTAGTCATCCTCCAGTGTGTGAGCGGATGTGATCATCCCCCATTTTTTCTTAATGTCAATTTTTGCACAACGACCTGGTCTTTGAAACATAATCATGTCAGTAAGTGAACAGTGGATGCGTAATCTGGAGGATAAATAGACTGAGTGTAAACCAAAACAGCCCCCCAAATGTCCCTCCAGTGTTAAAAGCAGAAACCAATCTCTTTTTGGACTAATAAATTTCCTTTGAGTTAATAACATGCCTCATGGAATTCTGGTTTCAATTAGCGGATGATTGTTCTGTGAATTTGACTTATAGGCAGAATACATTTTGTGTTTTCCAGATGTATGTCCTTGGTTTGTGGGTTTTAAAATTTTTGTTTAGAATGGAGTTGTTGTTGTTAAGTGCTGTCAAGTCGATTCTGACCCATAGCGACCCTGTATAGGATTTCCATGGAGCAGCTGGTGAGTTTCAAACACCAACGTTGCAGTTCAAATGACTTTGCTGTCTGACACATTAGCCCACAGTGAGAAAGGAGTAGTGCTTAGTATAATGCATGCTCCCATGTCACATTTACCAAGATGGATTTGGAATGTGGCAGGCAGGGCTTGATGATGCATGTAAATGTGGTGTGATGTTGTTGCTCCTCTAACTTCACGGGACAGAGAAGCATCTAGATCAGTCTCAGCGCGAGGCTGATTCCTGTGAAGTGGAGGTCCAGCACACCTCCAGTCCTAACCTTTCTACCAATTCTGACAACACTCTACCTGTCTTCTGGGTTTTAGAATGGCCATACAGGACTCACAGGCCTTCTTCATGACTATGGGGTTTATTAGGGAAGTTTTTGTTGTGCTTAAGTGCTGTTGAGTCGACTCCGACTCCTAGTGACCCCGTATAGGGTTTCCAAGGATCCGCTGGTGGGTTTGAACTACCAATCTTGTGGTTCACAGTCATAGCTGATCCTGTAGCACCACACCAGAAGGCCATTATTGGGGAAGTAACAGGGTACTTCAGTAAAGTTCAGGATCAGGACACACTTGGAAGAAATAGCAACAGCTCATGACACAGTTCTTCAGTCTGGACAGCTTTTCCTTAGCTGCTGTTGTCAGTCCCTCCTCACTCTTGGCCTGGGCTCCTGCTCCTTCTCTCTGCTCCCATTTAAGCAAACGCTGCAAAGTTCTTTAGCTCTGCTGTTAAGTACTTGGAGGCTCCCCACTCCACCAGGAAATATCCTTCCAGAAGCACTCACCTCTCACTCCAAAGATTGGACATTCGTGACCCATAGGGGCTCACCTCTCACTCCCTGGATTGGACATTCATGACCCATAGGGTCTTAATTGTTGATTTTCATAAATAGATCACCAGACCTTTCTTCCTAATCTAAGTTTGGAAGCTCTTACTGAAACCTTTCAGCATCATAGCAACTCACAAGCCCCCAATGACAGACAGAGTCTTAGTTACTTGGGGTATTCCAAGCAATTCACAGGTTCTAAAAAGAGTGTTTATTCCTAAAAGTCACTGCATTGCAATTTCACTTGTGCATCTCAAAAAACGTTTCTTTCCTTTCTTCTGCAGGGAGAACATTCCCTACTCACCCTTACTTTTCAGTACAGCTTGGGGCAGGGCAGCTGTCGCTCTTTAACCTCCTGAAAGCCTATTCTCTTCTGGACAAAGAAGTGGGATACTGCCAGGGAATCAGCTTTGTGGCTGGAGTCCTGCTTCTGCACATGAGTGAAGAGCAAGCTTTTGAGATGCTGAAATTCCTCATGTATGATCTCGGCTTCCGCAAGCAGTACAGACCTGACATGATGTCGCTGCAGGTGAGGCAGCTGTTTTTTTTTTTTTGCAAGGAACACCTGAAACCATACGGGAAGGTTAGCGGCAGCTCTCTTGCAAATGACAAGTCAGATTTAAGGAGACTGGTGCCCATTGCTTTGCAACTTGGTAGATGTAGGGGCATGTTTTAGCTCATCGTTTTCCATGGGATGAGAGCTTATACTCAACCTGTAAGTATATGACATCCATGCACAGAGTAACTTGTCCATTAATTTCCTAAACTGAATATATAAGCAATTCAAGAAAGAAGATGAATGCCCAAGCCTCTACCCTCTAAGTCTGTGGGTTACGTTAAGAAAGCAGCAAGTCATCTTTGTTTACTTTTCTTCCACTTCTTAGTCAAAAGGATCACAGGTCTTTTGTTTAAAATTTGAAAATGTGTTTCCCTTTTCACTTTCAGTAAGTTGTTAAGAGCCGTGGAGTCAGTTCTAATCCATAGTGACCTTGTGTAGGGTTTCCAAGGAATAGGTCATGAGTTTGAACCACTAAGCTTGTGGTTAAAATCAACCTTATAGTCAAGTGCTTATCCTGTAGCATCACACCAGATCTCCTTGTGTATATGAAGGTAATTAAAAACATAATTCTCCAGTGTTTAATTGTTCCAGTTCATAGATGCATGGTTTTATTCCAAACAAAACATGCTTTTACAGTCAGTGGATGGCTACAGAAAAGTTCTCAAAGTAATACACTCATCTTAGTTTCATTAGGGTACCTTCAGAAAAGGCAAGTGATGCTTTTAGTGTCACGGAAGAAAAATAATTTTGAGGTCAGGATTAATAACAAATTTTAACTAAAACTCAAGTGGATATCTTCCTAAATCATTAAAGCTTTGCAACAGGTTTATGAGGATGTTGCCCTATATAAAGCAATAGATATTAAAATGATCAAGCATTTTAAGGAAAACCTCCAAGATGAATCCAAGGCAGAGACGTCAGCTCAGCAGCTTATAGTGACTGCATTTTGAGGCTCCAGAGGGGTAATCTTAAATTTTCTAGAAGGGCACAGAGTTGTCACAAGGGCTTATTAGGAAGAAGTTTGAAGAAAATTGAAAACTGCATTGGTGAGGAAAAGGTCAGGAAGGGTTGCCTCCAGGAATTTTTTCCATCACAATAATGCATTTCCTCATTCTCTGAGAGGGTAGCAAGGATTGTCCTGTGAGAATTTCATTGTGAAGCCCGATCCCATCCACCCTACACCACTGATCTTGCTCCCTCCGCATTCTTTTTGTAAAATTAAACTGAATGCACATTTTGAGTCCCTTAATGATACCCAAACTGCCATTTTGATGTAGTATAAATTGAGGGACACGGAATTCTCTGGGGAAAGGTTAGAAGTGGAAACACTACCTTCAAAAGCAGATAAACCTAGACGGAGGAGACGTCAGACACCATAGCTTCACATTCATATTTTTACGTAAAGCACTGTTCATATTTTTTAGTTTAAGTGGGGTATTCACTGCCATTGCCATATTTACTCTATTTCAAACTGCCTGTTCGCACATTTCTCTTTTTGAAGTTCCTGGATGGTACAAACATTAGTAAGCACTTGTTTACTAACTGAAGGGTTGACAGTTCAAACCCACCCAGAGGCACCTAGGAAGAAAAACTTGGCAAGCTGCTCTCAAAAAGTCAGTCTCACAAATCCTGTGGAGCTCAGTTTTGCTCATGGGGTTGCCATGAATTGGAACCAACTCAACAGAGTTTAAACTTTGCTTTCCTAAATGTATTGTCTTCTAAAAGGCCATTTCATATTTATCTGTGTATAGGCCATCTCAAACAACTAATGCCTTGCAGTTTAAAACTATTAGTAGTAAAAATATGAAGGCAGACTTTATGTAGTGGAAGGTCAGGGTTCTTCTGGTTTGAAAATGAAGTACATTTGACTTCATTTTAGTCATAATATTGTTGTTTTAAATAAGAATTAACATGCATGAGATGTTTTATTTAAATACACTTTTACTCCTTCCCAATAATCAGTGTTTGTATTTGATAATTTCATAATCAGTATATTGGTTAAAAACATTGTGCTTTTATCCTGTGTGTAACATAACCAATGGCTGTTGAATCAGCTCCCACTGATGAGACTAGAATCATTCTTCATAGAGTTTTCCATGACTGATGTTTCAGTTCATAGTTCACCAGGCCTTTCTTCTGAGGTATCACTGGGTGGACATGTTGTTGTGAAGTGCCGTTGAGTCGGGTTTCCAAGGATTGGCTGGTGGGTTTGAATTGTTGCCCTTGTGGTTCAGACTGGCCTATGGTCCAGTGTGTTAGCCTACAGCACCACACCAGGATGTGTACTACCGGTTTTTTGTTAGCAGCCAATCTCCCTGACTCCATGTGTATCATAGGAAATGGTGCTTTCTTGAGGGGAGAGAAATTGCTCTTTGGCTCCTTTATTTCCTCATGATGACATAGTTGCCAGGGAAACTGGGCCTTGCTCTTTCCATAGGTCTGTTTGCTTTCAAGTTAAATAAGTTACTCGGAAAGACTGTTTACTTTTTTGCTAACCAGTTTACCTCTACTTTGTATCAGTAGGAAGCACGCTAGGAGTCCTGGTGTGGTGTTGTAGTATCAGCACTGGACAAGTAACCACAAGGTTAGCAGCAATGCAGCAGCAGGAAGCAGTATCATCTTGTAAGGAACCAAAGAGCACTGGTTTCCAGAAAGCATAGTGTAATAACTATCATTAGAATTTCAAAGAATGGGAAGTACCTGTGAGTAGGTAGTATTTGATTTGAGTTCATCAGTAGAAAGATATAACTATTGATATAAAAATGCAATAGGTGTTCTATTTAAATATTCCTCATCAGTTTAACATAAAAATTCATACAGTTAGGTTTTTGACATTCATATAATATGGTCTGCAATTACTGAGACATAGTTTATGTGTATGATTTTGCAGATGTTTTAAAACCCATCGTGTCAGCATTCTTAAAGGTCAGAAGATTGAGAATCTGATTCTTGGAGATTATATGATTTTTGTTATATAAAGCAAGCACACACTTTTTCCACTTTATAGAGAAGGAAGTTAGTGTCTTTTGTCTAGTTGATCTGATTTTCAAAAGTATACAGAAATGGCTACTGCAATGGAAGCAGCTGTGGACTTGGGCTTGGCTGATAGGATTTCTGGTTCTTGCTTTGCTGTTTGTGAGCCTGGGCACTTATTGCTTGTTACCTTCTCTGTGAGATGAGAAGGGAGGAGTCTCTTTCAACTTCAGATAGCTCTGTTTTGTCATATTTGTGTCTACTGCTTTTTTGTATTAAATGCATATACAGACATACCTCATTTGATTGTACTTCACTTTATTGTGCTTTGCAGATATTGTGGTTCCTGCAAATTGAAGGTTTGTGGAGCAGAGCTAGCAACACCATTTGTTCCCAATAGCATGTGTTCACTTCATGTCTCTCTGTCACATTTTGGTACATCTCACAATATTTCTAACTTTTTGATAATGCTATTGTCTAGCCTAGTATAGGAGTCTTGGTGTGGCAGTGTAGAATAAGCACTGGACTACTAACCCACTAGCCGCTCCTTGGAAACATTATTCAGGGTTACTGTGAATCGGAATCAACTCAATGGCACTTAACAACAACAACAATAGCATAGTGTAAACATAACTTTTACATCACTGGGACACCAAAAAGTTTGTGTACCTCACTTTATTGCAATATTTGCTTTATTGAGGTGAACTGAAACTGAACCTGCAGTGTTTCCAGCGCATGTCTGTGCATCTTTTCTTCATAAGTTTTTAGTGCCCCCCTTTTCTAACTTCATTTCCCCATTTCTTATTTTTTTCTGAGCTTTCTTTCCTCCTTCCGTTCTACATCTCCCATCTGAACCTTGTTATTTATAAGATGACATTTAAGAATTACTTATTTTTATGACATGGAATTTTTTTTCAGGGAGCTTCAAAAAGTTCAATTTAAACTATGAGTAGTACATGAAGGAATGAAAAGATAATGAAATTTTTCCATGAACATTTTGAAGCCTACTCATATTATTGTGGAGTCCTGGTGTGGCTCTGGGGGTTAATGCACCAGACTGCAAAGCCGTTTGAACTGCAAGGTCGGTGGTTCAAGCTCTCACCACCTGCTCCTTGGAAACCCTATACAGGGTCACTATGGGTCGGGACTGACTCGATGGCACTTAACAACAACGTATTATTGTTGTTGTTAAGTGCCATCAGGTTGATTCTGAATCGTAGCGACCCTATATATGGTTTCTGAGGAGTGGCTGGTGGGTTTGAATTGCCGACTTTGTGGTTAGCAGTTCAGTGCTTATCCTACAGCACCACATCAGGACTCTTTGGTGTGGTTAGCAGTTCAGTCCTGATGTACAGTGCCACACCAGGACTGTGACAGGACTGGTATTGTAACAGCCAGAAGTTATGCCAACAACAGTTCCCAGCAACTCCAGTCATCTCTTGGTGAGAATCTGAGTACAGAATGTGGAAAGAAAAAGTAAGGTCCTGTTCAAAAAAAAAAAAAAAAAATTTGTACTAAACATTGAAATACAGAACAGACTGCCTCTGATGACATTTCTTTTTATTCTTCTGATTAGATTTTTTAAAGTTTTGTGTGTATCCAAATACCAGTTCTTCTGTTGGCATATGCTCAGTACATCTAGTTTCTACAGTGTGAATAGCCAAAAGGAAACATACTGCACGCCTTTCAACATGGCTTGTTGAGACAATAATCTCGGTTTTTAAATCTTTTTGTTTGACTCCAGCTAAGCTTCTTATTTTATAGCTATGACTTCCTGTGGCTCTTTAATTTCTTCCTTTTAGAGTTTATGTGGAAACTTAGTTTCCAAAGACACGTGTTATAGATAAGGGTCAAACAAATAGTTTATTGTAATCCTGTGTAGGACTTTATGATATCCTTCCCCCACCCCTACCCAAGGGAGTCTCTCTGATTTTTAGTCTTCTTCTCTGCAGATAAAAACTGTTGGATTCATAGCACACATGGGTTATTTTAATATATATTTGTAGAGCTAACTAATTAAGGGTGATATTTGATGATTTCTGTCAGTGAGAAATTTAGTAAAATACCATATACATCTCATACCATAACGTTAAGCTGACGTAACAAAGCAAGGAGCTACTTCTCATCTTTTAACTGCTGGATACAAATTTAAATTATATTATTTGTATGTTATCTGTCACTGCTTTGTATTCTAAGTATCATAGATGTAAGAGTTAAAAAAATTGCTGTATACTGTCCTTAAATTTTTTTCTTTTTGAAATGTTAGTAATCAATACTATAGCCAAGCTAGATGATTTAATCCTAAAAACATACAGAAAAAAATTTTTTTTTTCTTTAATCTCTTTTCTCATGAAAACAATGTATTTCTGGAATACATTTGATACTAGAAATAACATTTCAAGCTTCTGAATCCTACACTAGCTGGACAGATGATCTTCTAGGTCTAAGCCAGAGCTCCATTATAAATCAGAAGTTAGACCAGGAGAAGGAATGAGCTTTCCTTCTGAGTGGAACAGGGCACATTCTTTACAATGGATGCTTTTCTAGAACTGACTTGAAATTAGAATGAATCCTCTGTGAGAATCCTGAGCAAAGACAGTTCTGATTAAATTCCAAAAGCAATACTTTTCCACAACAGGAAAGATACCATTTCCATGTATAGTTATAATGCTGAACATATATGATAAAGAAGCTTCCTAGTCGCCTTAGATGGACTTTAAGATGGACTTGGTTTACGACCTCATGCAGCAATATGGACTGATTGTGTGGCACTGTAGGATCAGCACTGGACTGTGAGCCACAAGGTCAGCAGTTCAAACCTACCAGTTGCTCTTTGGAAACACTATACAGGGTTGCTATGAGTTGGAACCAGCTTGATGGCACTTAACAACGTGTATGGCATGTAGAATCAAACCATTCCTCTTACAACACACTCTCTCTACTTCTCTGTTGAGTTCAGTAATGCACTGCAATGGCCACACACAACTCAAACACTATACTTAGAGCTATGGGGTTTATTAGGGAAGCTAAGAGATTACAATGTTGTTGTTAAGTGCTGTGGAGTAGGTTCCGACCCATAGCGACCCTGAACAGGGTTTCCGAGGCTGTAAATCTTTATGGGAGCAGAAAGCCTCATCTTTCTCCTGTGAAGCAGCTGGTGGTTTCGAACTGCCCACCTTGAGGTTAGCAGCCCAATTCGTAACCACTACGCTACCAGAGCTCCTTTTCAGAAAATGCTCAGGGCACTGTTGTTCTAGTCAGCTGCTGATAAATGCCCACAGGGCACACCATTCTACCATAAGCCTCAGCCTGAATGCACTTGGGTCTAGCTCTGTGGGTCAGCAAGCCTAGCTCCCCAACTTAAGTGTTTGGAATTACCCGACTCTACAAGCAGGCTTAATGCCTAGAGTCACTCAGCTTTACTTGCTCCTGGGCTGGGAAGTCCACGGATCTGTCTCATTCCCTGGTTCTTGGTTCTGCTGCTGCTGCTCCTCCACCACTCCTCTGGTGTCTCAGCTTTCTATCCCTGGGTCAGGGAAGTTCAGTGCACAGGGATATTGGGATCCAAAGGACAAGCTCCCTTCTTGCTTCTTCTCATAGTGAGACCCTCCTGCTTCTGAGATGGTTCATTTTATGCCCATGCTAGAGTTCTAAGTTTTTATAATTACAGTGAACTCTGCTAACACCCACAGCTGAATTATGGCATCCTGTTAGTATCCCACATTCGCTTACCCAGACCCAGCAGGGCAGAAATGCTTGGTGGGCATTACAGACTATGGATAGAAGAGACATTCGATAATTTAGTACACCACACCACAGTTAATATCAGCTTTAAATTTATCATAAAAATAAAGTAATAAGGTCATTTGAGCATGTGTGATTTTTTTTTTTTTGTTAAATATTAAAGTAACAAAATTAAATCCAGTGCATTTCATGTACACTCAGACTAATGCATAATCTTTTATTTTTCTTCTCCAAATTAACTTTAGATCCAAATGTACCAGCTGTCAAGGCTCCTTCATGACTACCACAGAGAGCTCTACAATCATCTTGAAGAAAATGAAATCAGCCCCAGTCTTTATGCTGCTCCCTGGTTCCTCACATTGTTTGCCTCTCAGTTTCCATTAGGATTTGTAGCCAGAGTTTTTGGTAAGAGATGTCTGTGATCAAATAGGACAGTGTTATTTATTCCAAGGAATGTGTGCTTAAGCCATCTGGCTCCCTGATTGTCTTACCGTGTGTTGTTGCTGTTGTTGTTATTGTTGTTAAGTGCCATCAAGTCGGTTTCAACCCATAGCGACCCTGTATACGGTTTCCGAGGATCAGCTGGTGAGCTTGAACTGCCGACCTTGCAGTTCAAATGGCTTTTCAGTCTGGCGCATTAACCCACAGCCCCACACCAATGCTTAAGCCATCTGCCTTCCTGATTGTCTTATCATGTGTTGTTGCTGTTAGGTGTTGTCAAGTCAGTTCTGACTCCTAGCAACCTTGTGTAGGGTTTCCATGGAGTAACTGGTGGGTTTGAACCTCCAGACTTGTGGCTAGTGGTCCAGTGCTTATCCTACAGCACCACACCAGGACAGACTAGAAAATTGCTGGTGGAATTTAATAAATGTGTTTGGCTGTATTTTGATAGGAATTTGAAACTGTCTTGCTCTTAAATAAAATTGAGATCACATGGAAAAGAGAAAAAGAAAGAATCGGGCTCTTGTGTCTGAGTAAACTGTGATGAAGCTCTTAAGTTCATCTATGCCTAAAAATCAGAGATTGCTTTTTTGTTTTAAAACTCTGAAGTAAGAATTTTTCCTGTACAATTATCCAGATTTTTATATACAACTATTTCCTACTTCTATTATTTTTCCACCCTGAATCCCAGACTTAGTACGGAGACATTGTCTTCAACTGGGCCACGTATATTAATATTAATGTTCTTTGCAACGGCATCTACAAAGAACATTACTTTTTGTTGTTAACAAGGTAACTGATTTTATTGTTCAGATGGTCCTCTTTCAACCCCAATACAGTGTGTGGCACTGTAGAAGCACTCAACCACAGGTCAGTTTGAAGTGCAAGGTCGGCAGTTCATACTTACCAGCCGCTCCTCGGAAACCCTGTATAGGGTCACTATGCATCAGAACCTCCGTGATGGCACTTAACAGCAGTAACTCAGGGAGGCTCACCAACTATGGTCAATGTAGTCCAGGGCAGGCTACTAAGCACCTGCCATGTTCAATCACAGTGTTAGACACTAGGAATAAAAAGACAGTATGACATTGTGTGTGGACTTTTTAGGACCATAAAGTCTGTTCATGAGTCTTCAGTTACTTTTGTCTAAGTTTGTTATTTAAAAAATGAGACAAACAAATAAAAAACTATGCAGTGTAGTTTATTCTAATGTTGTTGCTTAGAAACCCAAAGGCCTTACAAAAGGTGACTGTAATTTTTATATTCAGCACATCTCCTGGTCACCATAGTTGTTTGAAAAGTATGCATTACCCTAAGTTTTGGAACCCTCACTTCTTGGCTCTGTGTTTATGTTTGTTTATCTTTGAAGTAGTACGTATTCACAGTTCTGTTGCTGTTAGGTACTGTGAAGGAGATTCTGGCTTATACAACACAATGAAATGTTGCCCAGCCCTGGGCCATCCTCACAACCATTACTATCTTTGAATCCATTGAAAGGAGAAATACTCTTTGGAGAAACTACAAATTTGAGAATATCCACATAGATACAGACACATGCATAGGTAGAGAGTCCTGGTGTGACGCTGCAGGATAATACACAAAATCTATTTGAGCTGCAAGGTCAGCAGTTCAACCCACCAGCTGCTCCTCAGAAACCCTATACAGGGTCACTATGAGTTGGAATCAACTCAGCGACATCTAACAGTAACAATGTCGAGTTGATTTTGATGGATAACAACCATATATAGGGTTTCTAAGGAGTAACTGGTGGGTTTGAGCCACAGACCTTGCAATTAGCAGTCCCAAAGCTTATCCTACAGCACCACACCAGGGTTCCACATACACAAAATATATATACATACATCGCATTGTGATATATGGTGACTTCCTTATTGGGGCCTGTGAATTAACACGTTTGAAAAACACTGCATTAACAGTATTAAAATCTACAGGCAAAGTATAGCAAAAGAATAAAATTAAGATGCAATGAATTAAATATACTCCAGATGCCTCATATATATTGAATATATGTGATTGATTTTCTTCAGTGAAGTTTTCTTTGATACTTGGGTTCCTATGTATTTCTTTTATCTGAAAATAATTTATGACATCAAAATGATGCTTCAAGGCATGTCTCTTTGACTTTTGCCCTTGGAAACTTGAGATGCTAATTCAAGAAACAAAATTTCTCAGGAATCTGTTTTTTTGCTATGAGAGTATGAATGATGTTGGCTTTATAATAGATACTCAATCCTTTGTTGTTGTTTTAAGTTAGTAAAGAATAGAGACTGTTAGGAAAAAAGAAATGCCTGAGAAGCAGACTTAGTAAATTTAAAATAATTAGTATTGAGGTTTTTTCTTTTTTTAAAGACTTCCGGTGGTATATTGTTGATTAAACAATGACATAGACTAAGAGAAACTTCCATATATAAGTAACTGGAACTTTTCAAAACTGTTGCAATTTTGTATTTGTTGGAAAGCAGAGTGCACTTCCAGTTCATGCTGTTTAAAAATTTTTTATTTTAAAGATTTTTAACTTCCTGCTCTGGTATAGATTTAATTATATACTAACTGATTTACTTACTTTCTCATTATGGTAATTAGAGTTTGAATAGTACTAATTGGTTATGTTGATTTGTTTTTGTATTCTTGTTGTGAAGAAAAATCTTAACAATAGTTGAATAAGCATCCCTGAGACTTACCTAATCAATTTTACCATTGCCATGAAATTTACCACTAAGGATTATAGATACATACATACCCAAGCATGTATATAATTTGTCTTAAAAAAACCCCACAAAAAACCTTTAGTTTTACTTGAGATTTCTAAATAGTTAAGAAGAATATGAAAGTTTTGTTTCAGTCATATTAAATATATTTTTTTAATTATAGGTGGTTTTGATCAATTTCTGGCAAAATATTCTCTGGTACTGCTGAAGTACTTTTTAAAAAAGGTTTTATTTAAAAACATATGTTTTGCAGTGGGTACATAATTTTAATCATGAAAATTCTTTTTTCTTAGATATAATTTTTCTTCAGGGAACTGAAGTTATATTTAAAACTGCACTCAGCCTACTGAGCAACCAAGAAGCACTTATAATGGAATGTGAAAGCTTTGAGAATATTGTCGAGTTTCTTAAAAACAATCTACCTGATATGAATACCTCTGAAATGGAAAAAATTATTACACAGGTATTATCGGATGATAACAGTAAGATAGAAACTGTCTATCAGTTTCTCTACTGATTGCATGTTAGACTTTTAGGCAAAAAACTGTAGTTTTACTTGATAGTCATCACTGTTTTGTTTTTTTAGATCTAATCAGATACATGTCATTTAGAAACAAGACTGTAATGAAGCTTCTATATTGTGACATTAACTATACACAAGAAAAATGGTTTTGTGCTATATAATGAGTTGTTCAGGACTCCTTTAAATTCAAACCAACGGTAAGAGAGAAGCCAGAACTGGCAGAGTTAGGAAGACTGAGAGAAAAAGTGAGATTCACTTATCTTTGTAAAGGTTGTCAGTTCTGTTTAAAATACACAAGAAGTACCTGTGGCTAGAGTGAAAATCTTGGGTTTGTTCTTCCTTTTGGTCTGTTATCAGTTGTTTGAAAAGTATGCATTACCCTAAGTTTTGGAACCCTCACTTCTTGGCTCTGTGTTTATGTTTGTGTTAAGTGCGGCTCTATGTTACGTGCTGTTGAGTCGGTTCTGACTCACAGCAACCCTGTATAGAGTTTCCAAGGAGCCGCTGGTGAGTTTGAACCACTGGCCTTGCAGTTGAAACAGACCTTGTGGTTGAGTGTACCACACCAGGACTCCTCTTGGCTCTAAAATGGGACACATATCTATTTGAGAAGTTTGTCTGCACTTAGAAGATATGTATTATATCAATAAAATTAGGAATCACATCAGGAAACAGTAAAATATTTCATTGTTTTTTTTATCAGAGGTGTGAGTAGGGTTAAGAGAACCAAAAATGGCTGTCCAGGTGTTCAGGATCTAGTAACAGCAGAAAGTGTTGGTACTGACTTGGAAGGGGAGGGTCTAAAAGTATTAACAGCTCAGTGGGGGCCAGAGCTATGCTACGGAGGAGGAACATGTAGTCATCTTTGCAGTCTTAGAGAGCCAACAGGGAAGGAGCAGAGAAGAATGATTCCCAGTCTCTTACTTCTGCCTCTTTTGATCTCCTGGGACCTCTCATTGGCCATCCTTGAAACCAGCAGGAAAGGAAATGTGAGAAATGGAGTTCACAGGGCTGAGCAGAGTGGAGGAGGACCAAGAATGACTCTAAGAAGCAAATGGAGAGAAGTCAGTCTAGTCCCCGACCCTTCATAGGGACAAGTAGTTATATATAGATGTTGTTCAGATGTTGTTCGTAAGGCCGAGTTTGTAGACAAAGAAGTTATACTTGAACAGCCATAATACTGTTTTCTGATGTCCCGGAGGCACTTGGGATAGTAGAAAGAAGACGGAGTTTAGAGCAAGAGAAAAAGAATTTGAGCTCTTATTCTAATGTCCTGCCATCTACTAGTTGCGCAACTTTGGGCTAGTTACATCCTTTCTAAGTCTCAACTTATTCTTACATAAAATAAAATTGGAGTAATAAATATAAGTGAACCTCAGATTATTTTTAGGAACAATTGTAACCAATTAAATTAAAGAATTTCATGTAATATAGCACACATAAATATGAACTATTGTTATATGATCACATATAAAATTTTCTTTCCATTACACAGAATCTAAATCACAAGCAGATTGCCTAGATAGACTCTGGCGCTGTGGGATAATGAGCTGGATTGCAAGGTCAGCGGTTCAAACCCACCAACCACTCCACAGAAACCCTATACAGGGTCACTATGGGTCAGAACCAATTCAACAGCACTTAACAACAATAAAGCAGATTACTCCACACATATCTATGGACAGTTTCTAAATGTTAAAATGCTCTGTAAATTGATATCCTATTTTTTTTTGCATTAATTCTGCAGGAATACTGTTTTGATGGCATACAGTGAGAAAGTGTGCTGTTAGAAGAGAGGTGATATTTTAAATCTAATCACTTCCCTTCTAGAATCAGTGAGGAAATTGCCTAACTGAAGGATCATTGCTAGGATTCATGGATAGAATTTAGAGGCAGGCAAATTTGGACTCAATATTAGAGAGAGCTTTCTAACAATTCGAGTTGATTACCTTTGGAATGAACTCCAATATTGAAGGACACTTTGATGAGCTTTTGTGTGTGGTCATAAGAAATTCAAATAATGCAGAAAAAGCAGAGAAGACAATGAAAATCAACACGTCTCATCATCTTGAGAAGACAACCTCTTCAGTTTCCTTTCACACATCTCTCTTTGTTGTGTTGTTGCTAAGTCAGTTACAACTCATAGAGACCCTAGGTAGGGTTTCTGAGGAGTGGCTAGTGGATTTGAACCACTGTCATTTTGGTTAGCATTCCAGTGCTTATCCTATAGCACTACACCAGGACTCCTTTTTGCTTATCTACACATATGCATATGTATGCAGCATTCATGCATAACTGTAATACCACGTTATGAGTGTACATGCTATGGAGCAACCTGATTTTTTAAATTGCAAATACATAGAGTATTAAAACATTTTTCCTTGCCAATGAATATGGATCCATACCATCCTTTTTAAAATATATTTTTTAAAAATTTTGTTGTTATAGTGAACATACATAGCAGAACATATACTAATTCAACAATTTCTACATGCTCAGTTCAATGACATTGGCTACATTTCTCAGATTGTACAGCCATTTTTTCCTTCCTTTTTCTGAATTGTTCCTCTCCAAATAACATAGACTCAGTGGTGCCTGAGCTTCCTACCTAATCATTCCAGTTGCTGTTATTGTTTTGACCCAGGTTGCGGTTAAGAGCTGTTGAGTTTGTTCCAACTCATAGCAATCCTGTGTAGAGTTTCTGAGAAGCAGCTGTTGGGTTAGAACTGCTGACCATGCATGCGGTTAGCAGTCCATGTAGAGAGATCTTAAAGAGCACAGTGCTCAAGGCAGACAATCTTTACTAATTAAGCTAAACTGTTGTTTGGGTTTAAGGTGCTCTGGTAGCATAGTGGTTATGAGTCAGGCTGCTAACCTCACGGTCAGCAGTTCCGTGGGAGAAAGATGAGGCTTTCTGCTCCCATCAAGATTTACAGCCTCGGAAACCCTATGCAGGGTTGCTATGAGTCAGAATCAACCCCACGGCACACCACCACCACCATTGTTTGGGTTTAAGAAGACTTCAGGGGTTAATTTTGCCTTAAGATCTAAAGATTATCACAGAATGGTAATTTCAGGGGTTCATCCAGCTTCTGTGGCTTAAAAATCTCTGGGTTCCAAGAGAATTTGAAATTCTGTTTTGTGTTTTCCTCATTTTAATCAAGATTCTTCTATAGGATCTTTGATCAAAATACCCATATAATCATTATTAATTGTTGTATAAAGAGATCGTTTAGCAGTGATGTTAGTGTGAGAGGGCTGACCTAGTAAGTAGTTCAGTAGTCCCATTGTTTAAAATCTAAGATTTCATCATCTTTGACAGCAGCAGGGTAGCTAGATCAGTCAGATTTGACACGGTGAAGCAAAGCAACCAGAAATCATGGAGTTTCCATGTTTGTTTTTTCTTCCTAACATTGTTAGTATAGACACCATTGCTAAAATGGCAGCTGCCCTCTTGCCTTCAGCTGAACAAGTGTGGATGGAGGAGGGGGCACCCGTCCTCTAAGTTAGAAGCTCACTACCTCACTGTTTGGTGGTTCTATTGGAGAGCAGCAGTCGTCGTCAAACCTAACAGCTCTATATAGTGCTAAGGATATGCCCTGGTATCGGTTCTCCGTGTGGTAGAAAATGACATTCACCCTTAAGAGACTCCCTTGAAATAACAAATGGATACTTACTGTAAGAACTTTCTGCCCCATTAGCAAATCAGTTAGAAATGCTTTTTTTCTCAGGACTTTAAAATACCCTATATAATTTTACTTACTAGTTAGCAAAGGCTGTCCCTAACACAGAGAGTAATTGCTTAATAATTAGTGTTATTTTTGTGGTATACTACACTTTGAAAAAGAGTGCTGCTGGTGTAGTTGTTGCAAGTCGGGCGCTAACCTCACGGTCAGCAATTCAAAACTACTAGCAGTTCCACAGGAGAAAGATGAGGCTTTCTGCTCCTGTAAAGATTTACAGTCTCAGAAACCCTATACAGGGTCGCTAAGAGTTGGAACCGACTCCACAGCACATCACCACCACCACCACACTTTGGAAGCTCACTACTCATGGCCAGCCACTCAGTCGATTCTGACTCATCAAGACCTTCTATAGGGCAAAGTAGAACTGCTCCTTAGGGTTTAGACAACAAACAAAACCACCAAAGAGACTCATTTCCATCTAATTGCCTCCAAGTCATAGTGACTCTGTCGGGCAAAGTGGAATTGCCCATAGGGTTTCCAAGGACGTACGTTTTTATGAAGGCAAACTGCCACATCTGTCTCCCGCAGAGCCGCTGGTGAATTCAGACCTCTGGCCTGTCATTACTAGATTGCAAAATACTATTGAACATTAATTCATTCTAATGATTTGGCCTCATTATGAGATTATTTTAACTGTATAGAATATAATCTATTTGTTCATATATTGACAGTCAAACCTATTATTATTTCTTTGAGTGTATTCTAATTTTCCTCATTAAGTAAGTGATTGGGAGACTATGTATCCAGTTATATACACAAAGCCCAGACTAACCCGTGGCATTTTTCTGGCAGGTTTTTGAGATGGACATTTCTAAACAGTTACATGCCTATGAGGTAGAATATCATGTGCTACAGGATGAACTTCAGGAATCCTCCTATGCCTGTGAGGATAATGAACCTGTGGAGAAGCTGGAGAGGGCCAACAGCCAACTGAAAAGACAAAACATGGACCTCCTAGAAAAATTACAGGTAAGGATGTAAAGGTTTAATCGAAAAGCCCTGGAGTACCTTCTGCATGCATAGAGCTATGCCAGAAATGATAGGTTTGTGTAGGTTAGGGGCTACAGATGCAAATGTAAATGTAAATTTCAGTTGGGAGATAAAATGTATACTCGCACACACATACACATAGGTAGTTAAATTGGGTGTAGTACATATTTGATTGTATTCAAAGTAGAAAACATTGAGTATGGGAAATTGGGAAAATCATAGGGACTTGGGAGCTAAAACTAGAGTCTGTAAGAAATGAGTGAGGAGGGTCTTTAAATTGGGTCGGGAGTCCAGGGATGGTAAAACATAAACAGAGTATGGCAAAGCATCAAAATTAGCTTGGCATGGGTTGAAGATTTCCATTGGTTGGGTGATGGTGGTGGCTGTGTACCATGGAGTCAGTCCCAGCTCACGTATGTAACAAATGTGATGGCAGCAAAATTATAGGTAACTTTCAACGTCAAGCAGAAGAGCATGGCTTTAACAGACAGGGTGAAATCACTTAAAAATGTTCAGTAGTGCTTTAGAAAGATCAATCTGGAAACCTTGATGAGGAAAGATTAAGACAAAAGGAAAGAATATCAACTAGAAGACATTTGCAGAAATCTAATTGAGGATTTCTTATCAATGGAGAAAAGATTGAAGTTGTCAAGGACTTCATTCTTCTTGGATCAACTATCAGCACTCATGGAAGCAAGCAGTTAAGAAATCAAACAACGTATTGCATTAGACAAATCTACTACTGCACAAGACCTTTTTTAAGTGTTAAGGAGCAAAGATACCAGCTTGAGGACTTAAGGTGCGCCTGACCCAAGCCATGGTATTTCCAATTACCTTATATGCATGCGAAAGCTGGGCAGTGAATAAGGAAGACCATAGAAGAATTGTTGCATTTGAATTATGGTGTTGGAGGAGAATATTGAAAGTGCCATGGGCTGCCAAAAGAACCAACAGATCTGTGCTGGAAGAAGTGCAACCAGAGTGTTCCTTGGAGGCAAGGATGGTCAACCTTTGTCTTTCATACTTGGGATATATTGTCAGGAGGGAGCAGTCGTTGGAGAAGGATATCATGTTTGGTAAGGTAAAGGGTCATAGAAAAAGAGGAAGACCCCCAGTGAGATGGATTGGCAAAGTGGCAGCATCAGTGGGCTCAAGTGTGGCAACAGTGGTGAGTTTGGCCTAGGACCAGGCAGTGTTTCATTCTGTTGTGCATAGGGTCGCTATGAGTCGGTACCAACTCGGTGGCACCTAACAACAACAACAACAACTTAGCATGAGACTTGCTGTCTTGGGCTGGGTTCTCTAATGAAGGAAAACCAATGAAAGATGAGTGTTTGATTGATTGACTGATTCATCCCAAGGGAATGGCTCCCGTAGTTGTGGAGGCTAGCAAGTCCCAAATCTGTGGCAAGTCCCAAAACTGTCTCCTGACTTAACATGGTTGCAAGGGCTGACAGACCCACAATCAGCAGGTCACATGGCAGGTTGTTGGCTGGCAAATATATGCTGGCAAGTCCCAAAATTGGCAGGTCCTATATCAGGCTACTGGCTCTCTGGGCTGCAGACTGTGGTGGTCAGCCCTGGAGGTCAGATGATGATGAGCCCCGGAGGCATGCTTTACAGCTAGAGAAAGCCTTGTCAGGACATCCATATGTATATTGGATACAAGTCACACCTCCATGAAAACACTCCTTATATCAGAGTAAGAGTAGGACCTGAGTCACACCCTTTTGTAAGCATGTGACTCAAGATACACAGCACACTAATCCTACCTTATTAACATATGCTGTTGTTAAGTGCCATTGAGTTAGTTCTGACTCATAGTAGCTCAAGTATAGGGTTTCCAAGGAGCGGCTGGTGGGTTTGCTTAAAATGAAGGATCACAAAGTGGAGGACAGTCATATAATACTGGAAATCATGACCTCACCAAGTTTACACATAATATTAGCCTTCACATTTGTCTGGAGTGAAACCTCACAGAAATGAAAAGACAAAAGAACATATCTGAGAAAGGTTAAGGAACCAGATCCCACACACTTCTTACCATAAAGGAGTTGATAATTACTTGGGTATATAAATACTATATATTTGTATACACATTTATAAGTGTAATAAACAATTTATTGTGAAACAGTATTCATTATCTACAACTTTGTCTTTTGTGTACTGTGTGTGCAAGTCCTGCGGGTGTGGTTTAAAGAGTGATGGTGAAGTTAGAAAGTGCATTTGATGGGGAAGATGAATTCTAAGAGTTTAAGTACACATTGGCTTCTTGGTTTCTGTTACCCTCCACCTCCCTAATACTGCATCTGCCACAAACCAGGAAACACTAAAACGTTTTACTTTAATGTGATGAACCCTTAACAAGACCAGATGAGAAACCAGCGTCAGAAACTAGGGAACTCTTGTTGTTCAGAAAGAATAAAGAACACTGATTTCCTTCATTTTATATTTTTGTTGCTTTTCTTATTCAAAAGAGCACCAACATTGTTTATGTAAAAACAAAAGTGGTTTTGTCCCCTTTTAGTTAAATGTTCCAGTGATGGTTAATTGACTATTTCTTCATTAGGGAAGGTAGATTTGTATCTATATTTTATAGTATAATGATCTTTATTGTTATAAGTTTTTAAATTGACAATTCAGTGTAATCATCTTGTCTGGGTTCCCAAATTACATAATTACTCCTGGTAGAATCCTAAAGAAGTGGGTAGAAGCACCTGTGATGCTAATCAGAAGATAAACTTCTTGTAGCTCTCTAAGATAGTTGTCAGGAATCTTCTGTTTCTCTTCCAAACATATCAGTTCCCACTCACTGTAGCAGAATATCAGTGTGTGGAGTCAGACTGTTATTGTGGGGTGATGATTTGGTATTACATTACTGGTATATTCAGTTAAGTGAGATAAGTTGTGTTAGTACCATAGTTACAATTGTGAGAAACATCAGTTTCATGCATGTTGGCACGGTATTTGTTTCACTCAATTTCTTATTAATTGGTTATAATCAACTGATATAGGTATGGTCTAGCTGGCTCTATAATGAAAAACTAGAGTCTTCAAAATGTTTGATTTGCAGGATTTGTTTTTCCTTTCAAATAGGTGGCTCATGCTAAGATCCAGACTTTGGAATCAAACCTGGAAAATCTTTTGACCAGAGAGACCAAACTGAAGTCTTTAATCCGAACCTTGGAACAAGAGAAAATGGTCTATCAGAAGACTGTGGAGCAAATCCGGAAGTTGCTGCCAGCAGATGCTCTCGCCAGTTGTGAATCCCTGCTGAGAGACCTAAACTGTAACCCTAACAACAAAGCCAAGACAGGAAACAAGCCATAATTCAACAAATGCTGTGTCAGTAGTGAGTGCTACTTAGATCACTAAAGAAGGAAGAGTCTGTCTGTATGCTACTGGCCAAACGCTAACACCGAAGCTGATGGAACCACTTCACGTCGGTGCTAAACGCCCAGCCTTGGTCAGTGGACTGCTCTCTCTTAGAAGTCTGCAAACCCTAAGCCATTGTACAGGTGTAGCCTGCCTGGTGGTGGCAGTGGTGGTGATATATGTACATATATACAGAAAGTACATATAGTATCCATGCTTCCAGAGAAAATGAGTAGATGTATATTTAGAGCAATTTTTTGTATTAAAAACTTTAAGAAATTCACACCAAAGGGAAGTGAAAGCAAAACTCCGCTAGGACACATGTCAAAAAATTTGTTGTTGTTGTTTGGTCTTTGTAGTGAAACAGAGGTGTAGAGCATCTTCATATATTGACATATACTTGAAAAAAATGAATGTATTTTTTTCTTCCAAAGAACAGCCTGTTTCATTCAGTGGTGGTGGTGGGGGACAAGGGTACAAACATTTATATAACTGTGTGTACCTGTCTTAAAGTCTGCTGCATTGTACAGCAGAGGAAATCAGTCGATTGACTGGTAGTCACACTTAGAGGTTTTCAGGAGTTGGGGCCTTGTTTCCCTGCCTGCCTTGTGCCAACTAGCATGTTGTACCCACATGCATTTTGTGTCTGGTTAGTCATAACTTCAGATGTGTGTGTGGAGATACTGAAACACACAGCTTAAGTTAAAGGAGAATGTTGCTCATTTTCTAGCAAACTAGGCCAGCATTGCTACGCAAACCCAAAATATCAGGCCTAAAACATTTAATTTAGGATCCAAATTATCTAGGTTCTCTATGTACCATTTTATTTAAATTACTCTTCCAGTTTTGAACTGACTCTCTCTCCTTGGTGCCACAGTCAGTTCATTGGAGAGCCCTTAGCTAACTTTTGTACTGTAAATGAAGGATGAGGACATGCAATTATCATTGGGTTTCTAAAGCTGACATGCTCTGTTCCAATATCTTTCATTTTTATTTTTATCTTTTGGCCAATTGAAAGTATCTAATGAGCTCTAATTAAATTTCCTTTTCATGTGAAAACTTATATAGGAACTGTGAAGTGTTTTAGAACCAACTTTGTTGAATTCCATTGGAAGGGAAAGGGACAGTGGAATCGAAACTTAGAATTCTGCATTTGGACTCCCAACTTGCTCAGCCCCAAAATAGCTGATTAGAGGATAGTCATACCTGCCAGGTGTGTGGGAGGGTAGTAATTTTCAAAGAACACAACAGTTGTCTGTTTCAGAGATGATTTTACTATGGTGCCGCTGAAAGTTGATGCAGCTTTTTTGCCTTTCAACAGTGTTTCATCATCCCTGCTTTTTGCAATACCTGCATTATCCCCAATGGACTCTTTGAGCTAATTTTTTTCAAAGGGAGTTTGTTATACAAGAAGTTGCATTGTATTATGTAGAGTAGAGAAGTTAAGCACTAAAGCTTTCAGATAACTTCGATAAGCAAATGAGAAGTACTGAAAACACCTTTTAACTGTTACTCAGTGTAAATATAATGAATCATGTGATAGATCAGCATGCCCTTGAATCAAAGCTGTTTTTAATCTTTTTTCTTCTTTTTTCACAATGATAGGTTCTGTTTCAATCAATCAGAAAATTCTGATTCTAGGTACCTCATTTGACCGGGGCTCTCAAATGATTTGTTGCTAACATTTCCTGAAAATGTCTCTATTTGTAGAAGTTTTTGTTTTCTTACCAGAAATATCACAACTATTATGTTGTCGCTGTCTGGTGATGAAAATTGCCTTATGTGTGTGATACACAGGTGGTAGCTAAAGATTCTCCCAACTGGGAAAAGACACTTTTTCTTTCTGTTGTTGAGTTTAAAGTAAACTTTATTCTGGAATGTTTAGAATCAACATTATTAGTAGCATTATTATGTTCAGAGATTAATGTAACTTTGCTTTCATATTTTCTTCTGAAAATGAATTTCCTTTTGTGATTTTTTTTTAAAAGAAAAAAATACATTGCACTAGTTATGTGTCATGCATTGTCATAACGTCATCTGGTTGACACAGTGTCTAGTTACGTTTCCAATAAATATATTGCTGCAGTTTCCTTGCCTTACTGGTTTTATTGTCTGAGACCAACTGGTGATCAGAATCGTTTACAGGATGTGCATGGGTTGGATTTTTACTTCATAATATTGACAATGCTTCATAAGAGGATCAGAGACAATGGAAATGACTTAAGAAAACATTTATGAAACCCTTTTGCTGATGACTTTTAAGAAGAAAAAGGTAACAATCCTGACACATTTGCATTCTGCCTCTTTTATTTTCTAGGCCCCTAAATAGATAATAAGGTTGCTATTGTCTCTTCAAATGATCTCTCCCATTTGGGCAAGAATGCCATCATGAGGGTGACTCAGAACAGACAACATTTTGTTCATTCACTCTGCGTTGGAGCCAAATCAATGACAACCAATTAAGAAAGACTCTTACTGATGGATATGATATGAATGTGCTTATATCAGATACATCTTTCAGAATATTCTCAACTATGTAGTCAAAAGTATTACCTATATCTTCTTGCTCATTTTAGGGCTAAAACTTTTCATTCCTTTTGCTTTTGAAAGGTCACAGTCTTGAAAATCTTACGGAGCAGTTCTACTCGGCATGCAAGGGGTCACCGTGAATTGGAATCAACTTGTGGGCAACTAACCAAAACAACAATATATAATAGTTAAATTTTTTTTCAGAAAAAAAGCAATGTAGGCTTTAGTATAATCTCTTACTGTCTGTGTTGATTTATCCATTGTCTCACTGTTTGAACACATATTTTCTCACTGCTTGATTGGGAACAAGAAATCGGTCATTTGATGGTGTATAATATTTAATCCTTTGATGTGCTACTCTCATTAGCTGTGGTATGCTGAGACAAGCAATGGATTTAGAGGGGGAAATCTCAGATTCCAGTCTTTGTTCCACCACTTATGAGTTTTTTTATGCCTGTTCCAAGTTAGAAGCTAAATATTTAGAGATGGGAAATGTGTTGTTGTTAAGTGCCGTCAAGTTGAATCCGACTCATAGAGACCCTGTGTAGGATTTCCAAGGAGTAGCTGGTGAGTTTGAACTGCTGATCTTGTGATTCAAACCAACCTTGTAATCCAGTGCATTATCCTACAGCACCACACCAGGAGATAGAAAATATATGGTCTTTATCCTCAGAGTTTGCAGTCTTGTAGGATAATTAGGAAATAGGACATTTCCATTATAATCAGGTATGCTTAGGTGACAAGGTAAAAAGGAAGGGAGCCATTAAGTTAGCTAGAGTGGTTCTGAGGAGCAGAGGGGTGCTTGGTCTGAGCCCAGAAGAGCCAGTAGAAGTTGACTAGATTGTGTAAAGCAGTAGATGAATGAGAGAATATGATAAGTTTCTATAATCATAATTGATTTCTGTAATCATAATTCATTTCTTAACCCTGAAATGTAGTTAGTGTTCCCTTGGTGGAGAGAGGACTCTCTTATAAAGGATTGTATTATAAAAGTCTTTGTAGACCACATGAAGGAGTTTGAACTCTACCTATCTGGGGGCCATTGTTGTAGTTAAATGCCACTGAGTCAGTTCCTACTCATATAGACCTTGAATAGGATTTCAGAGGCTGTAAATCTGTGAGAGCAGAAATCCTCATCTTTCTCCTATGGAGTGGCTGGTGGATTTGAACTGCTGACCTTGTGGTTAGTAGCCAAGCGAGTAAACCACGACACCACCAAGGATCCTTAAAGGGAACCCTTAGACACCTAAAACCTAGGTGTGATACAATTTACTTCGATCTATCTTGTACGTTTGGACAGAAACAGGAATTGGAGACTACAAGTAGATAATATAACCAAAAAAAAAAAAAAAATACAAGCCAAGAAAAAAAAAAATCCTGATCTAGGGCCTTTGAGTAGGACAGGCATCCTAACATCTCCCTATCTGATATAATCAGTCAATAAAACTGGCTAACTTTGCCTCGAATATATTTGCTAATTTTCCCCAATTCCTGCCGCTGCTAATTTAGCTCATGTCATGGCTCTGGTAGGTTAAGCTGAGACCATCTTCCATGGCTCATGACAAGCTATGGACAGCAATGAGGTGAATGAGTATTCCGGAACAGTTAATTGTGCTCATGAACCTGTACCTAAACCAGGGGTGAAGAGCGTTTTTCTGCCAAGAACCATTGGGGTATTTATAACATCATTTGCGGACTATAAAAATGAGAAACTTAAAAATTAACCTGTTATATTTGGTCAAACATTTCATTAATTCACTGGTGTGGCACTATGGGCTAATGAGCTGGACTGCAGGGTTGGTTTGAACTGCAAGATTGGTAGTTCAAGCTCACCAGCCATTCCTTGGAAACTATATGGGGTTGCTATGGGTTGGAACCGACTCAATGGCACTTAACAATGTGATGACTGGAATTGCTTCTCTTTGGTGAGATGTGTGATGTTAGCTGGTATTGATGATGTTGTTCCTCACAGCTGCTTTTCCAGATTTGTGTTGGTCAGTCTGGATCACAGTCAACTCGTTGCGATGGAAAGTTTAGAAAAGTGCTGCTTGCAGCAGTAAGTTGTTCCAAACTACAGATGCATACTTCAATGTATGTCTTCTCAAAGTAGAAAATCCATCACTGCTTAAGTAACATTTATAGAACTCAAGCAGTGGGTGGTTATTATACCTAGCTTTCAGCTCATCATCACTTTGCAGCTGAATGATTTCAGTTACAGATTATTAGGCACATCAGTTTCCCCATTGAACAGTGTAGCAAAGATGCTCAATTCCATTTGTTTACTTTTCACATCCTTGAATCTTTCATTAAATGCCTCAATTAGTGTTGCACATTCATCAGCATATTCAAGTGTCAGAGAAAACTTGTTTTTCTAGAGTGGGGAAATGTGCCATGTTATTCCTCTCAAGTTGCACTTTCCACAGCTT